GTTATTCGTAATCATATAATTTTTAGCGTAGCGTTCAAATAATAGCACTATTTCGGTCTACATCAAGTCTACTAGTATACTGTTGAATCCATATAGTATAGACAAGCACTGCAGGGGTTCATCAAAAGTCTTCTCTCTGACCTTTGACTTAATAATTGTTAATTAGACTTTTAAAAGGCTCACCCGGCTGCCATAGACCGATACCATTTTATATGTATTTTATAACCTAAAATATTATCATTTGGATCTATTTATAAAATCAATAGACCTATATAATAATGATATAATTTAATTTTATACTGCCCAATTAATATTATTATGTTAATTATGCAAAATTCGTTCTATACTAGGAATACACAATTGTTTTGGTTATTTCACACATATCTTTATATAACATTTTATATCAAAACCACAAAATATCGAAGGCACGTGAAAAATACAGTAAACTACATTGCGCAATAATATTTGAAAGCATGAAATAACAAAAGAGTCGAAAACTTTATAAATTTTGTTTTGATGCAACTAAATATGGTCGTGTCAGCATATATTATGTAGGCACAACTATTTGCCTATTTCTGCTGCCAAATAGTATTGCAACCACTACGGTCCGATGGGTATAGAAACTCAACCCTATAACCGTTCAGTGTACTCATCATTCCACCTTAGCCCTCAGAGGTCAAAACCCATCTGTAGCATATACCATTCTTTTTTTAAGTCCTCGGCAGGTGTTCATGGTCTACAGTAGCCACTTACCATCTGGTGGACGTTCGAATGTTAATTCAGTTCTTGGAAAAAAATGTATTTTATTTCTTATTTTAATCTTTCTATTATTAATTCAAAAATAATAAATTCCTTTTTATTTAAATTGCCTGCTTTATTGGGATTAATATAGTAACATTCTTTACAATGAAATTAAGACAAATCTCAGTATTAAAGAACACTGATTAAAAACTGGTTATAAATCGATACATCGATTAAGTAATATATTATGTCTCATCAAAAGGTAGTTTTTTACCCGCTAGATTCATTACGAAATCATCAAAAATTATTTGGGGCGCTTTTTCGAATAATTACGAAATGCAAATAAGTGTAAATATTAGATACGTGAGATGCACGAAAGGTTACCTGAGTGTACGATCTGGTTATACCATACGTAGTACAGTCATGAGAGCAAGTAAACAATCTTAATTTTTAGAGAATATTTTACTAAACTTCATTTGTGAAGGTGACTCTTTTTCCCTTGCCCTTAATCACGCGTTTCTACATACGTAGTTTTTATTTGATAAAAATCTATCTTTTCTAACACAGTGAAAGGGTACTAGTAAGTACTAATATAATATAATCATTCATTTCCTTTTTCTAGGCATATAATGTTTTTACTTACAAAACACATCAGCTGGAAATTCTCGATCATCCTTCGTACTCGACACAATGAAAGTTATTGAGAGCATGGATCTGTGCCCGGAAATAGATCCAGACTTTCATTTTATTATTTTTGGACATTGGAGGCTGCGAAAAATATCAAACATATTGCTTCCTGTCTCCAAATTTACTATAGCAAAAATGCATCGAAAATGAAAAAAAAAATACATAGGACTAAATCAATATATAGGTATACTTTTGCTCATGATTGTACCGCCGCTGCGGGGGCGATGCACGACGAATCAATTAACGTTCACCATGTTTGGGGACGAGTACAAACAGACGCCGTCAAAGATCTAAAGCTCACTAATGTAAATAAACTGTGACGTGACGTTGTCGGGGCACTAGTTAACATGATAATATACTCAAACTACGGTCAGATCGTGCAATTTGAGCCTAATTAAAAACATCCGTTGCTTCATCATCATTGCTGCCCTTTCCCTGCCCTTTAGTGGATTTGCCACTGCTGAACACAGACCTCCCTATGTCACAACGCACAGTCTTAATCTGCCTTCATCCATCGACTTCCTGCAACTCTTACCAAGTCGTCACTACATCTAGTGAGACACCACCTTAAACTTGGCTTACCATTACGAGGCCACTCGACAACCTTCGTTCCCCATTTGTGTAGGTTATTCGAGCTATATGGCCGACCCATTGCCACTTCAGTTTTCTTCGCTTCTATTTCAGTTTTTCTATCAGAGAATATCCGTTTGATTAAAGATATTTATAGTATAACCACAGAATAAATAACAGTAGGTTATACTAGCTACTAGCATAATAGTCATATTATACCCATTTTTTAGAGTAAATTGACTTATTATTGAGGCTATAAAAAGTTTTTTTTTTAATATTATGTCGTCCTAATTTTATATTAGGTATAATAATATATTTTTAAAAAGCAACACTGTGGTCTTCTTTGATATCGTGGAAATGGTTTACATATATAATTCGCTCAGCATCGGAATCTGAAGACGCATCCCCTTAGCGCTACTGTCCTTCGTTTTGTAATAAATAAAGATTTTAGTCAGAGATAAAAGTCATCATTTTAGAGGTATCTAAAAATATAAAATCAATGTAAGTCTTCTATAGTCCTTGTATATCTATCATTTAAAAAACGAATAAAGGAATACATTTTTTTTAAATATTTTTTGTTATCATGCTATACACAGATTATATATTTTTGAAAAACTTCATAAGCTTCATATCATGAAGGTTCATAATATTTTAATCAAAAGTATTCATTGACACCTAATTTAAAAGATGCCAGCCAATCTTTTATAAGTATAAAACGGCTAAGCTGACTCTCATTTATAAAATGCCAAATATCTGCGACCAGGCGCAATGGGATAAATCAAATCATCAAACGAAAATAAACGTCCCACCCTCTACTGGGGCCGGTCATCATCACGAAGAGGAACATTTCACTAGTTTTCACGTGCTACTAAGTTACTTTAAAATTGTCAAAGTACGGATTGATATAAATTTAAAAATTGATATTTATCTATTAGATTACATTACACTACATTGCACAATATATAAAAGGAAATCTCTGTCTCTGGTAAGCGTTTGTCCTTCTATATGACCGCGTTAATCACAGAAACTATCTCTAATGGAGATTTCCATTAGGTTTTACCAATAGACAGACTAATTCACGTGGGAGGTTTACTTACATAACGTTTAAATATTTTATGCTTGGTATTATTTCTTGGGGGCTTTTGTACAGTAGTGGACATGGGAAGGGCTGTAGTGATGATGATGATGATGATATTCCCTGGCGAACGTCGGTTTTTATGTTTGAACACGCTAATCTAAAAAACTATAGTAAAAAAATTATTTGGTGAGTGTGCTCCAATGGACAGACTGGTTCATCAAGATTATCATGATCATCATTATCATTACAGACTTTCACAAGTGTACTGAAGGCAGGTCTCTCTCAAATAATGCCACAAAGCACGGTCCTGATACCCTGCATCTTCACACAAGGAGATACGGATATATTGGTGGCATTTTGGGCAGGTTTACGTAATGTAATGATGATAAGTCGGATAAAATCGAAGCTCCTGAGAGCTTATGGCGTGCGCTGCGTTAATCGATAAAGTGATATGAAAATAATGTATAATGTAATCATTCTTCTGATAATGTTCTAAAGAACTCGATCGCGTACACGTTACACATGTGAGAGAAAGGTGCTTTTTTATAGAATAAAGTTGAAAAACGAGAACTCAGTCCACCTGATGGTAAGTGGAAGCTGCGGTCCATAGATATCTACATTTCTCCTCGATTAAGAATCAATGCAGATGCTTTGTTAACCCTGAGGACTAAGATGGAATGCCTCGTTTCCAGCAAAAAGGGTCTCCGGTTCTCTACAATCACCACACAAAACACAGCATCATTAATCTGCCCTTTTACGCTGGTATTCTGTGAAAGCGTGGTCCCACCCCAGTCGAGCCGACCTATTCGTGCTACAGCCATAACCACAAATCATAGAAACAACTGTTGTTTCTATAATATGTTGCCGTAATATTGCTGCAGAATGGCTCTACCATATACATAAGTGAGCGGTCTTTGCAAGTGGTCGTGCAAAGCATACTTATATTTTTTCTGGAATTGTATGACGTAGTAGGCGTAAAATAACGTAAAGTTGTCAGTTCTTTCATATAGTGTATTTGCTCAGTACCATAGATATAATAATGAAGCTCAGTACACTTATTACAGATAGACAGATAAACTCTCAAACATTACTACAACTAAAATAACAACGTCAACAAATTTTGTAGACACAACATTAAATTACGTTCTGTCCTAGATTCTGCACAAGTGAAAACATGTCATGCGTTATAAATATGACAAGCACGTTCGGTCGTGCGGATCTTGCTTAAACAGCGTATCAACCAAATACTATATACCAATTAAATTACTTAACTAACTACCTAACTTGCTCCACTGGCGACTAACGGCCTAGAGTTGCCATTTCACGTTACTGACCCGGTACAATGACTGCACCAATTGTTTACATGAATAGTGTTACTGTGTATTTTTTATTGTGATATTTATTTAAAATAGTTGCATTGATCCACTTGTGTGGCCGTTCGCGATTTATTCATCTTTCATTCGTCACAGCATATCAAAAGTTCAATGCTTAATATGTGCCACGGTGCCACCCTCATGCTTGGGTCATAGACAGAATATTTCTCATAGTTGCCACGCTTAGCAGGCTACTTGGCTACCGCACTTTTTTGGGTTATTATCTGATACTGATCAAAATCAACTGTTTCATTTCCTCTGTCCACTTACGACAGCCACGGGATCATAATATGGAGTAGTGAATACTCTTTAAGCTGCGGTATTATGGATTATGGTTAATGCGATCGTTGACAATAATTAATTATAGGTCCAAAGCTAATGGCGTTGTTACCCCATAAAAAGCGAGTTGCTATCAAAAATTTATTCGTGGAATTCGATGGTGAATGAATCGAATCAACTCTCATTTTCAATCATAATATGTTGAGTGTGGTTTATATATTAAAATAAAGTTCAGTATAAACTTAACTAAGAAGAACCTGCAACGTTCTTACCTGATAAAGCTTAATAATATGAGGATGATCCAGCCTCTTCATGATGTCCACTTCTCTGTAAACCTTCTGAAGATTGCTAGCGTCTAATTGTGATTTATCTATAATCTTAATTGCTACCTGTAACAATAAAGCAAATTGATTACTTAAGTTAATTAAAAACAAATTAGTTTAACTCGAACTCGAAAATGAGATTAAAACATTATTTTAGAAATAGTAGTAGTAGTAGTACTATTACTTATCAGATTTTTTTATAGAATATTGGTGACAAGCGAGCACATAGCTCACCTGAATACTGTGGCCCTCTCCTTTATTCTCGATTAAGAATCAAAGTGCAGATGCGTTGTCATTCTTGAGAACCATAAAAATATAAAATATATATATATATATATATATATGTGGTAGAATCATGCTGCAGTTATATAGTAGTATAGTTGTAGCACAAATGGGTCGGCTCGACTGGGGAAGGACCACGCTCTCACAGAATACAAGTGTAAAATAGTAGCTTAATGCTGCTGTGTTTCGTATGGTGACTGTAGAGTACCCGAGACCCTTTTTACTGGAAACGAGGCATTCCATCTTAGTCCTCACGGGTGACAAAGCATCTGTTTTTTGATACGTAATCGAGAATAGATGTAGATGTCTATGGGCCACAGTAACCACTTACCATCAGGTGGACAGTGTGCCCTTTTGTCGTCCTATCCTATAAAAAAATCAAGATCGAATGCCTCGTTGCCAGTAAAAGGATCTATAAATGCAGTGTGGTTCTACCAAGTAAATATCTGTAAAATTCATGTTAGATAAAAATACCGTAGCACACAAGGTACTCTTTATATGCTAATTATTTCCACATCGTGGGAAAAACATGCCAACAAGAGAAATTATGTTAAATTTCAGAGACATGTGACATTAGTCAACAGGCAATGGGGCTACATGGCTGACTACTTGCACAAAAATCCCCTCAGAAATGTTTTTGAGGAGGATGTATTCAGTCCGGGGACGTACTGTTATTTTACTTATATTTTAGTAAATGAAGATTGTTTATATATTAAAATAGTCGAAATACACATCTGTTCTATTGATTGTATAGACATACATATTATGACGTTATATGATGTTAGATAATAGACTGTCTTTGGCGCCATAAGAGGTGGTATAATTTGACTTTCAAACGATTTTAAATGTCGTAAATCGATAATATCGATGAAATATAACACAAAGGAACTGGTTGTGACCTATTGTAGTATTCCTACAATTATTAGCTAAAAAGTCGTGACTGGATTTATAAAAATATTATTTTTCTTGTTCTACGTAAGAAATGAATGAAAAGGGTCTTTGGAATATTTAGCGCTTTAAGTTTCGACCATCTTTTACAGTCAAAATATTAACAAAGGTCCCTTCGCTAAAAGCCTTATTATTGCTTTTTTATATGGGACAGAGAGTTGGACACTTATACTCGCAATTGAAGGATATACTTGTAACAAAGGTGTTCGTTTAATGCTACGCTTTTCAGACATACAAAATGGGATGAAGCAAGTGTTTAAATGTTATGAGAACTGTTAAGAAATTGAAGCTGTAATACTTTTGTCATATTATAAGGGGATTTGAAACCGTTTTTTTTTCAGGTATTAATGCAACGAGATACAGTGAAAGACAAAGCTGCAATTATAACCCTGGTTAAAGGAGCATAAGGAATGTTTTGGGGCTAGTACATGCTCTGTGTTTGAGAAGCTGCATCCAAAATCAAAAATTTTTAAGATGAGCACCAACTTTCGAAGAAAAATGCCCTCTTAAAAGAAGAAGCAGCGTCAAAAAGGTACAACAATAACATTTGACAAGTTCGATGTTTTTTTTTAAATAATTAAATGCCAAAAACATTAAACGAAAACTCTGAAAACAGGATTCAAAATAGATTTGTAAGCTAAAAATACATACAAAAACTTAGGAAGTATACATAATATATAGTTATTTAACTTTTTTGATTAATTAATTTCGTAAAAAAAAAATAACGAAAGTTACTCATATAAGATATATTGCGTGCAAAAAGAAAATTATGATAATCAATTTTTCCGATTAGTTACAGCGGCAGTTATACGGTGGTTCGCTATGTACACAGACAAAGAGGCGCTGACGTCAGAACGAACGTCACATGCCCCAGACGATTGAGTCAATTGACGTGATTGGAGCGACCTCTCTCACCGCCAACCAACGATTTTATAAAAAGTCTTAAAGAAGAAAGTTTTAGTTTACATAAACTAGTACATAGTAAATTTGGACTTTCATAATATATAGAATCTGTATGTGTGTGTCACGTTCTTACGTCTGAGCACTTTCTCATCTCATATATCTCGATAAAAAAGATGATATCTTCTTCAAACCAATTTTATTCGATGCTATAGATAATTATGTAAATTATTACATAAAAATAAATTTCGTATTTTAAAAGAAAAAAATTGCCAGTTGAAAGCCACCAAATGTGAAGTTAATAATGAAAGCAGAACAAATCCAATACAAAAACCGACTTTTTATTTAAATTTCAATGTTTATATAAAGAAAATGAGTTTCCTAAATCAATTTGAAATCATCCTTTTTAACATTTCTGAGTCATTTTGGATACCAATTAAGGAATGATGAAAGTATGATATCCGCCTACATCCGGCAGTTTCTGCTAGAGATATCTAAGAAGTATGGACGTTGAGATCGATTAAGCAGATATTTCTGATTTTAGAAATGACGGCAATTGCAGAAAACAGGACGCGGTGTATATTTGCAGCATTGCGAATTGAACTGTCGGTCATATGTTTCGACATTGACCCCATTATGTCGATAGGAGTACTACGCACGAGTCTTACATCACACTACACCTATCATTATTTTGGACTCATCAATGATAAGCTGGGCTAATCTAATCTACAAGCCTAATTTTGTATCATATTTTTTATGTGTTCATATGGATGGTAAGTTGGTAAGTTATCAAATTCGTTTCTTAACACCAATATCCCCAGGAGTGTGTTACTCTAATGGGAATGGAATATATATATATATATATATATATATATATATATATATATATATATATATATGTTATAAAAGTTTAAATATAAAATAATAATTTGCCGCTCTTGCAGTCTTTGTAAATACGAGTAAATAAGGCTTCTATTTTTATTTGAAATTATCCCAAATTGAATGTGATTTACGGGTAACAACGTGTTTGTCTACCGATCGGCCCTTACGAATGTGCACACATTAAAAATCAGTTAAAATAATACATTGCCACGCATTTTGAATTTAAAAGAATAAAAAGGACAGAATGTTTGGGATTTTTTAATATATTTTTCTTCACAATTTTCCTATATTACTTATTCTGAACCTTCTCTGCTAATTTGGCCGGTTACTGCAAAATATCGTCGATGATACATTAGCACAATACAACAAAATCAAGCGCCAGACGTCAAAACCTTGCCAAACACGTTTTTCTAACACGTGATAACGAGATAAATATTATTTTCATCCTCCTATCCTTTGTCGATATATTTTTACAATTTTAATATAACGCCATTTAAAAATTTCACAACACTACACATAAAAGTTACAATCTATCTATCTATCTTTCTCTTGCTTCAATCTATCTCTTTAACGTGGTGATGACGCCACACACTCTTTACAATGGAAAAGGCCAATGGCAGGGCAGACAGATACGGTCTGTTGAAGAAAACCAAGAAGCATAGTATATAAGCACCTAAGTATGTGTATTCGAAGGTACAGCCCTTATACAACCCACTGTTGGGCACAGGCCTCCTTTCATATCTGAGAGGGTTTTAGAGCAAGTGTATTAAATAAAGAACAAATGAAACAAACATCTGAAATAGGTATCTGCATCATATTTTCTCTTCCAGTTGATCGCTACGAAACGCATTATCGTATACCTGGCACATCAAGGTCGCTCGTTACACGTCAGCAGCTAATGGTATAAACGTTAGTCGATATATTTTTACAAATTTTAATATAACGCCATTTAAAAAATTCACAACACTACACATAAAAGTTCCAATCTATCTATCTATCTCTCTCTTTCTTTAATTTATCTCTTTAACGAGGTGATGACGCCACACACTCTTTACAATGGAAAAGGCCAATGGCAGGGCAGACTGATACGGTCTATTGAAGAAAACCAAGAAGCATAGTATATAAGCACCTAAGTATGTGTATTCGAAGGTACAGCCTTTATACAACCCACTGTTGGGAACAGGCCTCCTTTCGTATCTGAGAGGGTTTTAGGGCAAGTGTATTAAATAAATAACAAATGAAACAAACATCTGAAATAGGTATCTGCATCATATTTTCTCTTCCAGTTGATCGCTACGAAACGCATTATCGTAAATACCTGGCACATCAAGGGCGTTGTTCGTTACACGTCAGCAGCTAATGGTATAAACGCAATAATATCGCCCGATAAAGGCAGTAAACAAAATCAATTTAAACCGCAACCTTATAATAGGGTATTTTACACCATGCAAAATAAAATCAAAAAATGTATATTTTGTAAAAAGTGAACGAGAAATATTGATTTCTTTTTATAAAATTGCTTCTTTGATTTCTTTTTATAAAATTTTATAAAAATGTAAATTTTATATTTCAATTTTAAGAATTTTTTTCCATCTGTGCCTCAAATCTGCAAAATGCTGTCCGCCATAGAGAACATGACGTGACGTCACTGATCCAGTCTAAGGGTATTAGTGTTCTGTGTCACTGATTATGAGAACTAGCTAAAGTGCTGTGTTATTTCGAAATTTTTCAAGTTATCATTACGATTATTGAATTTTGTTAGGGATTTTATTGAAAAGGCATCATGGAAGACGAATTCGTAAAAGCAGAAAGTACTAATCTACCAAGGATAAATAAATTGATGATGGCAAAATTTTTCACATGCAATCCCAATTTTTGTTCTGCCGAGTTGAGGAATGTAAAAACATCAATGTAGGTACCTATTACCAACTTTAGTTTATACAAAAACACAATAAAAAGTTTATACAAAATCTCAAAAGGTCAGAGTGTATTTTGATAAAACATAGTTTAGTAGTTATCTTAGTTTAGTTTATCTATAATTACAATCATTAGCA